CTATCAGACAGCATTAATCTGATCTGGTGTAAAATGAACACTACACATGTATAACAAATCTGATGGTATAATAGATAGTAATCAAGTATCTTCCTTTAGTGAGCGTCGTCAAGCAGATCCCAATTCAATGCTACTGTCTCGGCGAATTGGATAGCGGTCTCAGAGACCCACTTGAACCCCGTTTTCCAAGGTAGCCAGCCCTGAGGCCAACCTACATGCCCACCGTTATCTGTTATCAATGAGAATAGATACTTAGATGCTGTTGGTGGTAACACAGCTCCAGCCTCAACATGAATGATAGGATCATCACGGGAATGTATCAAGAGAGTTGGTATGGCGATATTCGCGCCACCATTGCTGTATTTCTCACTACAGGCACTCATATCATGATAATAATCAATAACATCATCATAACCATGGACAGCAGCAGGGATCAATGTATCGAGCTCATATAGATCAGTAGGCCTATCATACCACTTAGGATCGGATGGGGAAAAGCCTGTTCTGTTGACCATTGGGCCATGGACTCTCTGCTTAACCTCGAATGCTAACATGGGTTGCCACAACTCTCTAGATACTGGATTATCGACTCTCCGCCATAGACTGATGCCACCTGATATCGATACACAGGAGTGTAACCGTCCTCGGAGCTCCCAACCATATTTAGCAACCATATTGGCAGCAATGATCCCACCCATACTGTAACCAATGAGGGACAGTGGGATTCTCCCTAAGGTAGCCTTATGGCATATATCAACAGCAGCACGAACATCAGTAACTCTAGCACCAGAGAAGGAATCTTGTGGACCACCAACAATAGGGGTACCATCTAGACCTCGAGCAATCATACAACATAGAGCATACCCTTGGGGTAGGGCAGTATGATAGAGATCATTTAGATAGGATTCCGATGAGGAACCATTAAGGCCATGTAAGACTAATATGACACCAATGATATGAGTAGTAGAAGATAGGGGTACGAACCAATCTAAAGCTATTGATTGCCCATCATCTGTTATCATCCATCGCCTATGATAAGGTAGATGTGGCCTATTGACTGTAAGGAAGAGGATAGCAGTAGCCCAATGGGCACTGGTAACAAGAGGGGCTCCTAGATAGGACTTCAATCTGCTCTTAAGGAAGGAGCCTATATGTCGACCAAATGCTGTCTCATCGATACAACCATACACTCCTGAATTCACTCCACCTTTATCTATGTCATAACGATGCTTGGTGAAGATTAGGATAATGATGAAGGTTAGCGAGACCGGTATAGTGTATTGATAAGGGTAGTCCAGAATGATGGGCAAAAGGAATAGTAATGGTAGTAGAATATGACGAGATGCCTCCAAAGCAAGTAGGACCATCGATAAAAGATCCATCCAGATGGAGGGGGAGGTGTACTCTTCATCATTTGTTCATGGTGTGGTAGTGTGATCTATCCTTAGTGACACGACAAACAGATTGCCAAA